CACTGACTTGCTGTGGGAGCCTGGGCATGCTGATGCAATTTAGCAAGCCTGTATGAAGCCTCCACTCCATGCAAACTACTACTTCTGCTTTCATTTGCTCAGTATTTAACTGTAAGTCAGGATTTCTCATCTTCCATCCTATTGACATTTTGAACAGGATAATTCTTTGTGGTGGGCCTTGACCTGTACATTATAGGATTTTAGCAGTATCCCTGGCCTCAGCTTACTAGATGCCAGGAGCACCTTTCCAATGATGACAACCAAAAAATGTCTCCAGATACTACCAAACATCCCCTGCAGGGCAAAAATCACTCTTGGTTGAGAACCACTAGTATAGATACCTGACTTATCTATCTCATAGGGGCTTGGAAAGGTCAAATGAGATTGTCATTTTTGGGGGGGGACGAAGAAGAGGAATTATTAATAGTTATTACCCTGTTCATGTATTGAATGTCTACAATGTACCTTTCTCTTTATGTGATATCTCATTAATCTCCATCTTGTCAGGTAGGAAATGTTATTTTCATTTTGCAGAGAAGAAACTTAAACACAGATAGTTGAAACAACTTTCCCTAAGACACAAAAGCACAACTCAAAATAGGCCTGACTCCAAAGTCTATGCTCTTAATCACTGTCTTCTTTTTTCCATAACAAAATAAAAACAAAAGTCAGGTAGCAGATGAGAAAGTACTTGACATGTGAAAGTGATTTACTAGTATTATTATTATTATTATTTATAAGAAGGCCAGATCATGGAAGACAGAAGACTTGGTCATTGCCAATAATGAAGCAAAGAGGCTTCATCTCCTGTGGGGGAGTAGATGTGTCGCAAATCTCTCTTCTCACCCAGGAACTGAGTAACGAACTTACCTTAGCATCATATTCCAGTACAGGAAAGGCATCAGGTCAGCTTTCATGAGGTACATGGAAAGTCGCTCTTTGCTCTGATCAAAGGGGAAGGTTTCTAGGGGCTGAGCTTTGTAGTCAAACTCCGCAAGAATCACACGGTTGTAGCCGGTCACCAGTGGACACGACGTGTAGCCATCATACTAAAAATATAAATGCGATTGAGGCGGAAAGTAGATTTGTTCATGGTAGTATATAGAAACTCTAAAAATTATTATTTTCTCTGCATGGTTGCAATTTTTTCCTTTTTGAATATTCTAACTTTTATACCCTGAAAAATACAAATTACGTAACAAAAAATAATACTAAAGCTAAAAACTGAAGAGCCCATATTAGAGAAACTAATTAAGAAAGTGGCAAAATTAGGGCTAAACATGACTTTCATGCAGAATGGAAGAAGACAACTGAGACGGTGATTCTTACAACAACGCATACAAACCTTCTTCACTGGTGTCTGATTCTTCATAATCAGAGAAATTGTTCTATCAAGTATCCCTGACTGGGCAGCTGCGAGAGAAATAGCAAAGTCAGAAAAATAGTCTCAATGAAAACTAATTTGCAGATAATGTGAACGTAACCAAGTTAAAAAGACTCCAATCCCCTATCCCTCTAAACCCCTGTATTTTTCAACCTTTTTTATCTCACAGCACACTTGAACCTATAGTTAAACTTCCACAGCAAACTTAGATTAGGCTGATCAAAAAGAAAGAGTAAAAAAGAAGAATATACTCCTTTCAAAACTAATTTAATCAATAATCTTTAACAACTTTCGCAGCACATCTAAGATCCCCTCAGTTCCTTGGCACCTGGGTTGAAAATCACTGCTCTAAACTACGACTAAACATACCCTTCTTACACTTAAAGTTCTGACTACCAGATGGGGGTCTTTGGCTCATCAAGGGTCTACACAGATGTCTCCAGGGGTCTATAATCAAAAAGCCAATTCTCTCCAGCAGGTAAGGATGGCCCTAACCCAGCCTCTTCTCCACTGGTCAGCTTGTTCTATGTGCCCAGTGTCCCTTGGCCACCAGAATATTCCTGTGTCCCTATTCACAGGAACCTGGATTGGTAGCCTCAGGCATATCCAATTAGGCAAAACACTGGGCTTTCCTCTCTACTGGACTGCCTTGGCTGAGGGTAGACCAGATTGATATACACATATACACAAACACACACACACAACCCTAAGTATCCATAGGTTCTGCATCTATAGATTTTTTTTCAACCAAATATGCATCAAAAATATTTAGAAATGGTCAGGTGCAATGTCCTACCCATATAATTCTAGCACTCTGGGAGGCTGAGGCAGGAGGATTGCTTGAATTCAGTGCAAGAATGAGACTCCCATCTCTACTAAAAAGAGAAAAATTAGCACCATGTGGTGGCACATGCCTGCAGTCCCAGCTGCTTGGGAGGCTGAAGCGAGAGGACTATGTAAGCACAGGAGTTTTAAGGTTGTAGTAAGCTATGATGATGCCACTGCACTCTGGCCAAGGCAACAGAGCAAAACTGCCTCAAAAAAAAAAATCTTTTTTCAGAAAAAAAATTTCATCTGAACATATATAAATGTTTTTATCATTATTTCCTAAACAACACAACAACTCATTATGTAATATTGACATTGTATTAGGTATTATAAGTATTCTAGGGATGATTTAAAGTATATGGGAGGGTATGCATAGGTCATATATAAATACTATGCCATTTTATCAGGGACTTGAGTACAAATTTTAGTATCTGCCAGTGGGTCCTAGAACCAATCCCCAGTGGATACTGAGAGACAACTGTATATATATTTTTGGTTTGGTTTTTTGTTTTGTTATTTTTTTTAAACAGAGTCTCACTCTGTTGTCCTGAGTAGAGTGCTATAGTATCCAGCCTAACTCACAGCAACCTCAAAGTCCTGGGTTCAAGCAATCTTCCTACCTCAGCATCCCAAGTAGCTGGGAACTACAGGAGCCTGCCACAATGTCCAGCTAGTTATTCTATTTTTTCAGTAGAGACAGAGTCTTGCTCTTTCTCAGCCTGGTCTCAAACTACTGAGCTCAAGCAATTCACCTGCCTAAGCCTCCCAGAGTGCTATGATTATAGGTCTGAGCCACCACCCAGCCTATGTTTTGGGGGGTTGACAGCAAGCGTAGGGAGACTGCCTTTTTATTATGAAGATATTTAAACTCCTTTATTCTTGTTTCATACATCCCATCACACATGGAATAGTTTTAGAACAGATGTCACACCAATTCACACATAAATCTTTCTGTGTATCTCTGATGGATGGGGAATATTTTTAACACCAATGCAATGCATTTTCACATTTCAAAATATTAGGAATAATTCTTTAATATTACCAAATCCCAGTCTGTATTCGATTTTGAATAATTAAGACTGCCCTTTTAAAGATGTAAG